TTTTAATAATGTATGTAAGTATGTATGTATGCATGCATGTATGTATAATAAAAATATAATGATAATTATATATATATAATTATTATTATAACTATAATAAAATCTATAAACTAATTATTATATGTTTATCGTCGCTATTTCCATGAACCGACAAATACGAATATCACGATTGAAAAATTATTACTTTTTGATGCCAATTTCTGACCTGAAAAATTTGTTGCAGGATTCTTGTATTTATAATTAAAATATATTAATAATTTTTTTTATAGGTCACAATGTTTATATCAATCTATTAATTAATTTAGTAACTAATTTAAGATATTAATTAAGATTATATTAATTAAGATATTTTAAAGCTCCTGTGAAAGTTATTTACATAATTACAGTTTATTTATACGGCATTTCGACGGATATTCGTCACCACGTGTGAACCATCCTGAGGTCTGCTTACCAAAAATACGCGGTAATCGCGGGATAGTGTTAGCATTTGCATACACGAAAACACTTTGTTGATGTTTTTTGTTTGTTTGTTTGTTTGTTTGTTGTTTTTTTTGTGTTTTTTTTTTACATTTACATCCAGTGTTAGGCCCACTGAATTGTTTAAATGCTTAAATAATTGAAAACATAAATTATGTGGATTAAATTCTCATATAATTTACAATGAAACTTTATAATGTACGGTATTTTATAAGATTATTTTTTTTACATCTATAGACGTAAGTTGATTTAATATGCTGAAGCATTATTAATGGTATAGGCCTATACCTATTAAATATTTCAACAAATATCACACTATCGCAAATAGGCCTATTGAAGTATTATTAATTCTTTATTAAAGCATTATTCGAGCACCTTCATAATAAATAAATAAAAATAATATTATTATTTTATGTATTATTTACCAACCATACTAACATTGAAAACATGAATTATGTGGATAAAATTATCATAGAAAATAAAGATTATTTTTTAAAACAGCAGAATAAAATAGATAACACCTTTATTTAAAAAAAAAAAAAAAAAAAAAAAAAAACAGGTTTTGCACAGACGCAAGTTGTGCGTCGAATGGTGAGTCGAATGGCCGAGCGGTTAGCAGGGACGCCGCAAGCTATAGCCATTATATCGGCGCTGGTTCGAACGGCCCGCTCGCCTATGGTTCTGGTGGTAGAACGTACAAGTCTTCTCGGATAAGGACTATAAACCGTAGGCCCAGTGTATACAATGGTTCGTGTGCACTATAAAGAACCCAGTACATCCTTCGAGACGAGTAGGTGGTTACCCCGGTGTACTGGAACAGACAGCCCCTGTGATGGTGGACGACGAGAGTTGCTGGTACCGGGTAGCACAGACACGAAGGGACCCTTAGGGGCGAAGAAAGTCATTGGTCGAGTTCCTAGTCCACATTTCAAGCGCCCTGAGCATCTTACATTAGATGGATATGTGCGCTATATAAAACTACACTATTATTATTAATATATGCTGATTCATCTCATTAATTAAACAATTTTTATTCATTTCGAGCACTGTTATTATTATATTATTATATTATTATTATTATTACTACTATTACTAATATTTTAAATTTTTGTTGTTTTATTTTTTGTTTAATATGTATGGGCCTAGATATAGGCTATGTATATATTTAATAATTAGAAATAATTATAATTTAATTGTAAAACATATATAATATAATGTTAACAATATTATAGGCTAGGCTAGACCTAACCAATTATTGATACCATAGTCATAGATAAAAACATCCATTTGATAATTAAACAGCAACTTTTCGAGTGGCAGTGCCGATAGAAAACTGCAGTGTTTTGGCACTGCGGCAGTGCCGATAGAAAATCGGAGCTTTTTTCGCACTGCGGCAGTAATGCCGATAGAAAATAACAGCTTTTTTCGCACTGTGGCAGTGCCGATAGAAAACAACAGCTTTTTGGCACTGCGGCAGTGCCGATAGAAAACTATGGAACGCCGGGACTGTCATCCTCGGCGACTTTTATATTCGGCGGCTACTTTTTTATTAGGCGACCTTCAAGTTTCGGCGACTATTTCATTCGGCGGCGACTTTTTTATTTGGCAACCCATTATTTTCGGCGGATTTAGCATTCGACAGCAACTTTTGAGTTAGGCGACTTTATCGTTCGGCAGCTGTTTTACAGTTTTGCGGCTACTTTTGAAAGATTACGGTCTTAGAATTTTATTGTTCGGCGACTCCTTGGAAGGTCATCATAGGTATTTCCAACGACTGGACTACAAAGACTACAAAGATCAAAGCGGCTATTTTGACATCCCATGGAGAATCTTCCGCGATAAGTTTTCGTAATCATCACACCTCATAACCAACTCGGCCTAGGCCTAGCTAGGTTCCCTGCTAGATCTAGGCCAATAAAAAGATGATTTACTTTGCATTTTACTTTAGTTGGGTTAAGACGTTTGAGATGGCATCATCAAAGAAGAAAAGTTTGCCACCTAATAATTTCTATTTTATGATACAAATTATCTCTTGTAATCAAATAACCAATTTTTTTTTTTATCTCAAACAAGTCTATTGAAATTACTTATGTGTATACAGTATACTCATTTCACATTTTTTAACTAATTTGTTTACTACATTAAAAAAAAATTCTATAGGACTGATACACAAGACAAACTTACTGGGGATGGAGCTTCAACCCCAACAGAGCCAAAATGCCACAGGTATGCTTGCCTTTATTGATGTGAAATGGATCACTCAAATAAGAATTTTCAATATTTTTTTTTTGGGGGGAGTGGGGGAGTGGGGGTTTTGGTTTTTTTTTTTTTACTGAGCTAACAGTTTAAATTTACATATATCAATAACATCTAAGAAAGAGCTTAATTTTAAATAATAAACACTTCAAAATTTATTTAGGGATTTTTTTTTAAGGTGATAGCAGATATATGTAGTTATTTTTTTATTACCAAAAAGGGAAAAATGGATTTGAACAGATGTTCTAATGCAATTTCATTCTTTGATATTTAATCCTTTTTTTTTGCTTTTCACTGCACTGTAGATTATCAAATAAATTTACTAAAAAACTGACGACCGATTGTTTTAAAAACTTATTATTTAGACCTAGCAAGCAAGATTCATTTACTGTCGGAAGCGGTCCTTTATAAAGGTTAAGACAAACATAAAAACACGCACAACGGTAATTAAAACATCAATCAAACTATCATACTCTTATATACTAAAATGTCACAAATGCTGTACTACTATAACCATGTTTGCTATTACTGGTAGAAGAAATATACTGTCAAACTTAAACCAATGCTTTAATCAAATTGCGCCACCCAGAGGTAACCAGTTAAATGCCTGTCTCTTATACACATCTAGATGTGTATAAGAGACAGCTGTTAGTATGTGATTGAGTGCTTAGTATCTGTTCTAGCGAGTGGGTCCTGTATAAAGAACAAGTTGTATGAGTATACCGATTTAATCAATAAGACCAAAGAGGATTTTTTTAAATTGCACCTATAATTTCTATAATTTTAATTAATCTTCTATAATTTTAACATTTTTTTTAGTCAGTATTGCTCAATATTAGATGAATCGATTCTTCTATCTTCCGACGATGATGATGATGATATTTCAGTTGCAATTATGCGCAGCCTGATGGATGAAAAGTAGGCTTTTCTTTTTCGATGTATATTGTTTTTGTATTCAATAGAAATAAATCCAAATACATGAATCCTATTATCACTAAATTAATCAAGAAATTGTTTTCACTTCATGCTTTCAGTTGTATATTTTTCAGTTGTTTTAAACTGATAAAATTAAATCAAATTACTTAATTAAGTTCATTAACAGAGAAACAGGTTGTTGGATAATTTTTGTATTCAGAAGATAAAAGACTCTTATAGGATTATTTTCTTATGTACATGTAGATGAAAATTTCCTGTGTTCTGTACACTACACTTTAGGAGTTTTGACTTGTTTTTTTTTTTTTCCAAGACCAACGCTGCCTGCTGCTGATTTGTTCAGCTCCTTAAGAGCATCTTTGCCCGAGGGCAACCAAACAACATTTTTTAATATATGCAGAGCCAGAGTGTGGGATGGAGCATTGAGAGATCTAAGAAGAAAATCTTTTTCAGCAAGCAATCCAATTTCAGTTAAATTTACAGACTCAATTGGCCAGACTGAAGGTGCTATAGACGTAGGTGGGCCCCGAAGGGAATTTTTTTCACTTGTCCTGAACCATATACAACATAGTAGCCTTTTTGAAGGGCCACCTACCAGCAGAGTCCTTTCACTTGGTGGTCAAGGTAAGCTGAGATTTGATACTGTTATAATTGGAATAATATTGGAATTCATGTACGCAACATTTTCTACATTGGTAATTGTCTTACAATTTATGACAATCTATTTTTCTATGTTATAAATCTTTGGATCACATTAAGCATACAATAACCCAAATAATCATGATCTCAAGTAGGTATTCACTTCACTCAACAAGATAATTATTTTCCAGCATAAATAAAATAAACAAAACAAACAAATTTTCCTATTTCAAAAGTGAGGTTCAGTATACCTATAATTTCCTAATAAGCCACTTTCCATAAACAATTGATACCAGAAATTAAAAAAATTTAAATATTTATTTCCTCAGTTTTTTAAAATATGATTTCTTATAGTTTGAACTACTGTTGTTGGTTTGCTGTTTATAAGTTATTTTCAAAAGACGCACCTTTTTCTGTGACAACCAAACTTTATTCTTATCATGTTTTTAAAAATTTTATTTGTTATATAGCCATGGAGAATGATCACTATTACTATGCTGGACAGCTAATGGCGATGTCACTGGTACATGGTGGACCTTCACCGACATTTTTATCCACAACTTTATACGAGGCCATAGCCTACGGATGTGAAAGGTCCACAGCTGGACTTGATGATGTCGGTGATTTAGATATAAAGTCTAAATTAATGAAGGTGAACAAAATATATATTATCGTCACACATGATCACAAATATTTATTACAGTACAAAACTTGTAAGAATGTTGAATGAAATATATGTGGATCTGTTGAACATGAGTAACATTTATTTACTTATTTAACCAATTATTTATTCTGGTTTGTTTCAAATTATTTTTAATTTCAACAAAAACTAAAGTTATAAAGGTTAAGACAAACATAAAAACATGCACAACGGTAATTAAAACATCAATCAAACTATCATACTCTTATATACTAAAATGTCACAAATGCTGTACTACTATAACCATGTTTGCTATTACTGGTAGAAGAAATATACTGTCAAACTTAAACCAATGCTTTAATCAAATTGCGCCACTCAGAGGTAACCAGTTAAATGCACTCATACGATTTATGATATTGGAAACGGGGTATAAGCTCCTCTTCTATTGGCCAGATAGGCTTGTTATAATGGAATAATTAAAATATACCGGGGAGGAAACTGTCTCGAAAATTTAGCTTCCGCAGGTAGTTCTAATATCAATTTAACCTCTAATATTACTTTCTTTTAGATTCAATCAGCCACTTCATTAGAGGAATTACAAGGAGCAGCAGATGAGGCTGAAGATTTTCTAAGCTTGGCTGGCTTAATCACCAACATTAATTCTGTTGATAAGAAGAATCAATTAGTTTCAAGTGCTGTGAGGTTCTATGTTTTAGACAGAACTAGATCAGCCTTTGAAAGGTTTGTAAAATTGTAATTAATTATTCTGTACTTAAATTTGTTTGAATTCATTTTTTACCTTGGAAAAATAAGATTTACAGTAATTGTGATTTCAAGTTTACTTTTTTTTTTTAAAACAAATTTTTATTTTGTGTTATACTTATTTAATTTTCAAAGTGTACTTAGGTACAATAAATTACATTATAATAATATCCTGTCAAGGGAAATGCATTTACTTGCACTTACCTTTTTTTCGTTGAATTCTATTGTTTTTTGTTTTTTTTTCTGATTAATTTAAAACTGTCCATATATAATTTAAAAACCATATGCTAAACATTTTTCACTTTATTGCTGCATTTTCGTAGAATGTCATGTTTGTTTTCACTTACCTCTTTTGGTATTTTTCATTATTATATATTTTTTCAGATTACTTTCTGGGCTTGAAACTTTAGGTGTCCTGAACACTATAAAAGAAAACCCTGTTGCCTGTAGAAAGGCTTTCATTCACAGTGAGGAATCAGAGTTGATTTCAGAAAGATTAAAGACAATATTCCATGTGGACTTCAGTGAGAAGGGCAGTAATAAAAGAAGCACTGAAGAAGTTGTGCTGTCACAGTTTTTTGATTATCTTATAGATGTTGAAGGTATAGTTAGTTTTTAATATAGAATGGGGGAAAAAAACATGCTCAGCTTACATGCACAAATGTTTTATCCTCCACAATTATAAACACTTATTTAACAGATTGTCTTCAACCTGATATTATATAGTCAGGACCCTGAATGCATGCACCTAAACTGAAATAAAAAAAAATTGAAAACAAAATCAAGGTTTTAAAATAATTAGCAAGGTTTATGGCACACCATGTATGTACTTCTGAAAAGCCAACGACAATTGCATTCATTCCACATCATTGCATAAAAATATTTGTGTTCATTTTTAGGATAAATTTATTAGCACTTGAATTTTTTTTTTTTTTATTTTTCAGAGGGAGAAACGAAATGCACATTACGTGATATTTTGGTATTTACGAGTGGAGCATATATCATATCATATCATTTATTTCGCCTCAGTTAAAATTACAAAAATTACAAACAAAGACATTGCACAAACAAAGGTAAATCAAAGAGGCAGGATTGCCTAAATGTTATAAATAAAATAACAGTCGAGAGGCTCTCCACAAAGAAATACCATACACAAAGATGTAACATGAAAGTTAAAATTTAAAAATCAGTATAAAAAGTTATATTGCATTATTAAAATTTAAATATATAAAAATTCCAATCCTTTAAGTATTTTTAAAACAGTAAAATTGAGATAAAATATTGGTAAAAATTGCATTTTATTTTATTTAAAACATTAGGCTAGGTCAGTAAGGTATTTACCGAGCGGTGAAATTATTACGTAACTTAAGATGGTCAGCGTGTCTGGAATTTACAGAAATATATTTAAAAACATCCAAATCATACATGTTATATAAACATTTGGCTACAAAATTAATACAAAAATAGTCAATACGATTACTAATGGAAATGAGGTTAAGACGCTTTAAACGTTCAGAGCATCTTTAAGAGTTCGGAGCATCGAGTATACCAATTACCAGTTTCACTGAGATGCCAGAAATTACATTCCTGCACAGTGCTGACAATTATCCAACAGCCAACACATGTTCTATAGTCCTTAGACTTCCAACAGTTCACAAAGAGTATGAGGCATTCAAAGAAGCAATGGATTTTGCTATATTAAATTCGCAGTCTTTCGGTACATCATAGGCAATAATCACTCCACAGGGCCACCAACAGTAATAGCACATTATGATCAAACCGTGCAGTCAGCTATGTTCGTATTGTAGTTGAATTATTGTATTGTTATAGTAATAACTTTTATATATACATTTATATATATATGTATATACCATACCATAATTACTGTATTCTAGTTCTGTAGTTTATTGTTTGTAATGATTATTGGCATTGGTGAATGTTATTGATTTTTCTTCTT